TAAAGAAAATAGTTTTAACATTTCAATATATAGATTAAATAAGTGTAAAGTACCTTGTAATTTCAAAAGAAAAAAATTAAAAAAATATCCATTTTTAACTCATTTGAATATTTTGTCTTATATTTAACTAATATATTTAAACATCTTTGTAGGGATTTTGTTTCTGTTTATTTTACTGGTGCTGCTTCTATTTATATAAAGATTTTTAATCACTTAGGGAGAATTCATACAGGGCTCCAAAGACTGTCGTAAAATTGTGGCATTTGAATACTTTGTCTCAATCAACACATGAAAGTATACATTTATTGATTTAAGCCTCAGTAATAAATATGTGAAAATATTTGAATCAATAATTTATATCAACATAAAACAAAAAACGTTGAACCCGAGCAAAAAACTACTTCGGCGACTAATTAAAGAACCAGTCGAGTAGGATCCGTATTAACTTATATTCCTAAATCACGTTTAATAAGTACGAATTTGACACAAATCACCAATTTTACTTTAATTACTGTTCTATTTTAATGCAAACTACGAATTTAGATTAAAAAACCATTTAATTTGCTTCTTTATTTTGCGGTCTTATTTTTTAATTTAGAAATTTAATCAGTTTTGATAATTTATCATAAGCAATCGTATAGTTTTCTTTTAAATGTGTAGTTCCACCTAATATTAAAAAGTGAATTAGATGTAGAATGTAGCTCAGTAAAAGCCACCTCATTCCTAGACTTCTCTTGTATTGTAGTTGGCAATTGTCACACTCTGTTTCTGTACATGTTACGAAAAAGGAGAGAGAGAACTTCTTCGTTCGGAGAATTTTTGGCAATGAAAGGGTGGGGAGCCCTTTTATTTTAAACTGATGTCCTCGTTTTCAGACCCTACACTAATAAATTTTCATGGAACTCACAGCTAGTGGGATAGCCAGATTTTACGAGATAGATATTCCCTTCTTTAGTTAGCGTCGCGTATGTGGTCATGCGAGTGGAGGTCTGCAGAGAATAGGGTTCAGGGAGAGGAAGGATTAAAATTTAAATTGACCTCCAATTAAAACGAGCCCAGATTTGTTTGTAACAAAATTTTAAGGTGCTTATGAATTTAAGGTAAGAAATATAAAAAAGGTCTCGTCATCGAATTTAGATGGGAAAAGCTAGCAAATTGCGATTTTTATTTCGATATATGAACGTATCGATATACATACGTGAAAAAGTCTACTGATCCACGTTTACATCTGGTAACCATTGCAGTGTCGCGTTTATTAGTATGGCATAGGGTCAATCTCTTTACCCTTATGTATTGATTTTTTTAATTGAGCTTGTCTGTCTTTCTATATTGTGATTTAACGGAGAAGATGTTGTAAAAAAGATTTAATATTTAATTCACCATGAGTCTTGTAATTTGCGCCCATTGATGATGGTTTAAAACGCTACATTTATGAGTTATGTTATTAATCAAACTTCGGCTTACTCGTAATTTCCGGATACTTCAGACGTGAGTCAATCCTCGAACAGATCTCATCGCCCATCTGTGCCCCATTACCCAAGTCTGTGCGTGTTCCAAAGGAGCGGTCTGTGCGAAGCTATTTGCGCTATCACATGCTGTAAGCTATTATGATCGACTGATATGACGTCAGGAATTTATTGCGGACGGAACGATATAAATGCGGTTGCAAGATTTCACACGCTATCATGGTTTCAGCGCTAAAATAGATTGATTACTAATTAGTTAGTAACTAATCGACTAATATATATTTTTGGGTATGAAACCAATGGAAAAAGGGGCGATTAAGAGATGGCAAAAGTAGTTTATGAAATTACGGGATGAAATATCAAACGTATTGTTACGAAAATTAAGCTGAAAAAAAAAAAAGGAACGAGAAGACTCGGTTCGAATTCCGCAGTGCCGAAAGTTTTTGTTGATTTATCTACAATAATTTACAATTTTTTAAATTAGATAATATATGTTACAATATTGCTATTTTAAAGAATGCTTTCCGCCGGTAAGTTTGAAAAAAATATTAGCGTGGAGCCATAACGCATTCGAAATTCATTCAAATATATGTATATCGTACACTATTTAAAAGAAATACGTCCGCAGTAGCTTTGTATGTATTTGTTAAATCTTACATACGCAACATTCAGTTGCCGGTCGTATTTCAAAACGGAATCTACAATATTCGCGGCGGGTTCGTTGCAAATAACAATAATGGTCAATTTCGGTCCAAATAGGTGCTCAATAGGGCCGATGGCGGGCCTAGGTAATCTATAGCGGTTACTGTCAAACGTTGAGAGGGTTTTGTTCCCGTTACTCCCTACGGCCCCTGCTCAGAGAAACCTATCATTTCAATGATATCAAATTAGAATAACAACGAATAGAATAAGGGGACGGTGCATTTCTCTCCTTTATTTGTACACATATACAAGATGCATGAATGTGGTTATGAGAATCTAAAAACAAGTATAGTTGAACGATGGTTTATATTCCTTATTAGAGGATCTCGTTGCCGTACCCAGTCTCACTGGTAGGCAATTTTCTATATCAAAATTCCTTATTTCTAAGCTTCGTTCGCTTTTCGAATTTCAAAATTCTAATGCAGCCCTGTCATCTAACCTTGTCATTTAGATGTTGGGCTCATAAACGAACGGTCGACCATTGTAGTATTTTATACTGTACCTCTCATAATATATATAAAGTATATTGTGTTGTATTTTAAAAGTAAAACAAGACTGAGAATGTTTAAACGTTTAAGCATTAAACGGGAAACTCATCAGCATATTCGAATGGCTAAGGACCTTAGATTGCATTTTTCATGTCCCGGTATATCTGGTTGGCTATAACAGTCTTTAAAAAATCCCTACCACGCTGTAATCCAAAACATACCTACATTTTTTTAAAGATTCCACCAAACAATTTCTCTTTCCGTTTTCAAAAAAATCTTCGTAAAACAAAAATTTCGCGGAATACGAAACTGTGTTCAAACTACCACAGAAGTAACGTTTTTTGAAAACTGAAACTGGATTCATGTTTATAACCTACACTGACAATGTTATCGAATATTAAAATAAAACTTCTCGTAAAATAAGTAGGTTTACTTTACCAGTTCTTTTTTTATACCGAGTTCTTCATCAATTTAGTTCTCTGGATTACTAATAATAATAATAATAATATGTTAATTATTTCACAGCTGCATTAGATATTTATACGATTTGGTATTATTTTATACAGATTATTCTGTGAGTATGCTTTGTGTGTTCCTCTCACGCAAATAGCTCCGTTGCAATTGCGCGTGCTGTGTCTAATGATGGATCGTAGCCCGCGGCTAACCGTAAGTGATGTCCCGAGGAAAACTCGCCGCTCTCACACTGGCTTGGACCCCAGGCTCATTTATCCGCAATGCAATCGGATACATCGCTCGATATGCAATTTCAATACAGAGAATTATTTCGGATAGAAATTCATATGTTTTCAACGTTTTGAATTAAATGCCATAATTGAAAGAAAGCTTTAAAAGAATGACCAAGCATTAAATGAAAGCTTTAAAAGAATCTTAAATAGAATGACTAGGGGAATTTAACTGTGAAGAAGTTGAATCCCTTGTAGAAATTGCTGTCTAATAAAATTTCACTATCATACACCTTTTTTTCGTGGGAAATCCTTCATGGATCCCCTGCCCCTGCCACTCCACCGATCCAGTGTCAAGTTGGGAGTCCTAACTGGTTCCCACTAAAATCCACGTTTCACCTGTCTCTATCGCATCGGGACACGGGAACACGTAGAGGCGATCTTCCGCGACCTCGGGTACAGCTGACTCTCTATACTTACTGTTATTCAAAATCACTCTCCCTTACACTTGACATTGTATTTCTATTTTATAATGTTTTAGTTTAACTAAAAAACTAATTATTTTAAAGCATTTTTACTTCTATATTATAAATATGATAAGATTTTACATTTATGAAACTTTTTTTTCAGTATTATGCTCTTACTTTTAACACAGTATTGTATTTGTTGGAAGCATTGTGTGTAAGCAGTGATTGGCTTTGTGGATCGTATTCGTCACTGCTTCCGTGCATGTGAATCATAGATCTGTAAGCTTATCTTTGTAATTATAAAAGAAGTGGCAACTTAGGTAAGGCTGTATGCCGAATGCGTCATCAGTTCCTTTGCGAGTCTATCAGTAATCTTAGTAGAATGTGCGGACGCATTACTGTTGTAAAGGACGGCATTGCTACAATAACAATTATCGCGAACTTTTTTTCAAACAATGGGCAAGCAAAAATAAGCAAACATTTCTCCACCACAGCTTCGACTTGTATTTACTTTCGTCGTAAATTTCTATTAGGAAAGACCCATTCTGCTGACTATTTCGTCGCCTGTCTCGATGTTATAGACAGTCTACTACCGTCCGCCCAGACCGTTGACATCGTTTAACAGACCTTAGTCTCAACGGTGGCAAGCGGCGAGTCTGTTGCGTGGATGGAACATAAAACGAGATGGCGATTCAAATGCAACCAAGCTGGAAAATGTTAAACATTGGCTTACTTCAAGATGTTTCCATTCATTATTACACGGAAACACTAGACACACAGTCATTTCTGGTCTTCCGTTAGCTCTGATATCCATCGATTTTCCGAGCTTTAAGATGCATATGTATCAGGCATTTGAATGAATCATATCATTATACGGCAGGATTTTACTGACAAGTATTTTTTGACAATTTTAATCAGTTGTCTTGCGGTTCATATCAATATTGAATTTACTGTAGTAACCGCAGTCGCCAGTCCATCTTCACCTTCATGTTCATGGCAAAGATCACGTCCATGTCATTGATTTAAAAAAAATCAATTAATTTTATAGTGACATACAGTTTCACCCACTTCATTGAAAAAAAAAAAAATGTGTCCTGCAAATTACAGAAACTTCCATTTTCAAAGTTCGTACGTATTTTTTTACATACTTTATCTTTTGTATCTTTATATACTTTTTTTTTTCGCCCTGTGTTATGTGATTGCCGCCGCCCATGGATGTATCTGAGGGGTGGCAGTTGCGTTGCCAGTCTTTAAGAAGGAGGTAACCTGGGTCGGTTACCTCGCTTACTACACGACGAGAAAATTATAAATTAATACCAGTACTCTGTGGCGTCATAGTACGCCCCCAGACCGGCCAGTTAACATTCAAAGGCAAATTAACCGTAGTAAAAGTCGAGAAGCCTCCGGGGAAATGTATTAGTTTATCTATATATTAAATTTAGCAAAAAATTTTACAGAGATATTAGAGAGAGGAGAGGTCGTAAGATTATTTTAATTTCCATGGCAAAATTTGCTTAAATTGTTAATTATACAGCGTGTTTGAAAAATATTTTTTTTTAATTATGGATTTTTTTAAACGTTAATATTTTTTTATGATTATTGGCACGTAGCGTTAGAAGTGTGTTCATTTATTGTCGCGATGTTAACGACACGCTGTATAGGTCATTTAACCTCTCTTAGCTCTGTATTCATAAAAAGCTTTAACATAGATACATAATTGTCTTTGACCAACATGAGAAATACCAATATTGTTTATATGGATACGATTTCTAAAGTCATCGTACATAAATAGAAGGTAAAGTCAGGATTAAAGTATGTCGTTTACAATAAATATTATCTTGAGCTAGAGCATGGGCTTTAATGGTATGGACAATTTAACGATTGCCCCTTAATTAGAGTCTCGTGTTTTCGTATGGTCACGATAAACAAATCGGTGCTTTGATAGCTTTGCAACAGAAATCACCTTTCAGTATATTCCCTAATACGGATTGTACGGTGAAATTTAATGAGCCTATGCTGCCTATAGGTGGCGTAACAATGTAAAATATATTCCAAGACAGAGTTTTGTCGTCAGTCTAATAGATGGTGTTGTAATAGGTTGAGTTACACGTTACTCTATTTTCTAGATAGTAAAGTACACATGGACAAATATGGAAACAACTCGAACTAACCTTACAGCTTCCTTGTACGCAGATGGCACGAAACCCAGGCTTGGTGCATGGCGTACCATCAGCTACGAGCGCTAGAGATGCGTAGAACTGTTGACCACGAGGTCTGCAGTTCAATACGCAAGGGGCGTTACCTAGAAGGATAATCATTGCTTCTACAGGTTTTCCTTTAACGGTTCGATATAAGGCAACGATTATAATTATCGTTAGTCCCTTCAAGTGGCAAGTTTCGAGTTTTAACGTAATTTTGCCTAATGGCCATCAACATGAAATTTCAAATGTTTATTTAATACCAAGACTACAAAGTCGACACTAGTGTGTAATTCATACCTCGTTACTATTTATTTTCCATCACTGTAGACGTAATGTATCGAATATTTAAAATTAGATATTTTTAGGTCTTGTTCACTTCGAAATTCTAAAATAGGCATGTCAGCTACTAAACACCGTGTTTTGAATGTCGGGCTAGTTATCGGACGTTTGTCAATAACTATTTCACTACCTAAATGTAATAATGTACTACAATGGCTGTAAATTAAAAGCGCTATATATATATTTAATGACAATAATCCATTTGTAAAAAGAAGTATTTAAATCCCAATATAAGTCAACAAATCATCCGCAGTCTCTTATTTGAGGTATTACAACGCTGTCTTGTGGTATTACCGCTGCCAGAGCTAGTCGTCATTTATGAGATCTTAGGCGAATCAAATCAATAATTAGTTGATTCCTAAGAATACAAATGTTTATACGTAATGTGAGAATTTCACGTGTTGTTAGTGATTTTATCATCAATGTATAGCTACATTTTTAATAAATCATAGGCAACGAAGAAAACGTAAAATGAAATGGAATCTTTTGCTTTAATATTTGAGAATGGCGAACAAAACTAGTTTATAACTGGTTAAAAAAAGTTTATTTTGTAGGTAGAAAGAGAGAACACGATATGTAAATTTCGTTTCCGAATCTAAAACGAATATTTCTTGCAAAAATAATAGCAGGGTGAATTTCTTTTGCTCTTTACTGACAAACTTTAATCAAATACTGTATTAAATAATAGTATTTGAAGAAAGCAATGGATTGTAGGTAGGAGACTCTTTATGTGCGCGTTATCAATAATGCCACAAAACAAATCAATGTGCAGTTTGTTAAGTTCCGTTTGTGAGTAAAGTGATTCTTGATTCTCTACCATCTTCGACATATCTTCTGTATACATAAGAAATAAACTAATGGTTACTTTAACCTACCATAAATATATCTCAATCATTTATCATTTATTCTAACGGAAAATGCTAGCACAGCTTTTGTTCATAGATAGCATTATCATTTAATAACCTAGTTTAGCAATCACAAATGGCATGTTTTGACAATAATAAATAATAGTTCTGTCTAGGTATTATGCTCCAGAGCTAAGCTATACGTCTTAAAATTTTCATCAAATGAAATAAAGGTCAAATCCTGGCTACCAAGGTAATAGAACCGTTATCAGGAAAACATAATCGTCTAACATTACAATATCTTAGGGTTCCTTGTTACAGTAGCTCACCGTCAACGTACGGCACCCAGGTGTAGAAGCGTCCTCGGAACGGCCTGCGGTCATACACCGCACACTGCTCGGCGCGGGTGTCACGCCTCGGCCCTGGACAAGCCTGTGTAAATAAATAAATAAGTTAATTTTTGTATTACGGATTTATTATTAATAAAATTAAAAATGGTATTAACTCAATAATGGTCTCATTCATAGAAATTATTATTTCCCATTTTGGAATTCTGTTTAATATAAAACACTAGCGACCCGCCCCGGCCTCGCACGGGTGCAAATTATTACACATGTAAACCTTGCTCTTGAATCACTCTATCTAGTAAAAAAAACCGCATCAAGACCCAAGGCAGACAGATAGCGGGATGACTTTGTTTTATTTTATGTAGGATGATGAATTTACAGTCCGAAAAAGCATTTTTAGATCTAAATCATAATTTACGTTTTTACTATTTAATTTTTTAGTGCTTGTCTCTGCACTTTAGATGAAACTTAAAAAGTTTAGATACAAATATCGCAACATTTTTTGGTGTTGTCATGATTTCGTGTGACGTTAAGATATAGGTACACGTGGAGGATGTCGACCGCTTGCCAGTTGCTAGAGCATACGGACGAGTTATCCGGAAGACACAGGTTTAAATCCTTGCGATAGTTTACCGAATTAAAATAGTTTTATTAAACCAACAATATTAAGTCCAATAGTTTACCACCTTAAATCCACACAAAAACGTCTATTCTGCGCCTGCAAAACCGGGATTTATCATCATCCTCCTTTTTTTTTACGCGGGAAAAATCCTTTATGGATCCCCCGCCACCTTGTGGGTAGACAGCGAGCTTATGTGGTAGTCCCCAGGAATACGGGGGTACCCACTAAAAAACCCACGTTGCACGTGCGCTGTCGCTTTTGCCGGAGACGAACACGAAAACGCAATCTTCCGCGAACCCCGGCGCGACTGTGGCCCTCTAAGGCCTCCGTCCCTCTCCGGGTGTTTAGACACCCAGGTCCAGCCAAATGGTGCCGTATCGGTGCAATGGACACGGCACCCCTCTCGATCACCCCACTCGCTATCAGGGGGGAAGGTTGCGCGCGTAGGCCATCCTTCTGCGCCCTGGTCTCCGGCGGCGGATTATCATCATCCTCCTGCCCTAATCTCACCTAGGTGGGATTGGCATTATGGAAAAACATATTTTTGTGTTTGATCTGGTTAGTAAGGAATTTAACCACAAAAAGATACAGGTTTACAGCTAAAAGTGTTAGTTTGTCGTAACTTTGAAAACACTCCCGTCTGCTACATCTAGCTATCGGAATATTTGGCGTCGAAATTTCGAACAACGTCCAGATCCGCGGTCAATTTAAGGGTAAAGCCAAATTGGCGTCAAAGAAGCGTAAGCTCAGCAAGGCGAGACAGTACTTCACGTCGGCTCAACGCCTAAGCCTCTATAAGGTAGAATCAAAATCAGGCAAATTCTTCCCCAAATGAAGTATACATTTCTAGGCGAGAGCCCCCATTATCAGTTTCTTCCATTTTAAATTTGGCTCGGGTTATCGACGATCATGGTCTTTCCGATCGGCTTAATCCTTTAGCTCTGCGTAGAGATTTTGGATCACTATCCATCTTCACGTGGAGTGTACCGAGGAATTGTTTGGATTGATCCCGGCGGCTGAATTCCACCATCGGACATCGCGCCAAAACCAGAAATTCCATCCACAGCACCTCGTTATCCAGCGTTCCACAACAGCGCGATTTTTAAGGCACTTCCTGCCTTGTACAAACCACTCTGTGAAACCAGTTGTTGCCGACGGTCTATCCGAACCGATTTTACCTGGAAACCTTCAATAAGTAAGCATATTATTTCCTGAAAGACCGGCAACGCACTTGCAAGCCCTCCGGTGTTGCAGATGTTCATGAGCGGCGGTGATCACTTTCCATCAGATCCTCCTGTCTGTTCGCCCCCTTTTTTCCACAGAAAAATAACAATGGAGTGTACTTCACACTGAAATACTTTTTCAAAACACAGGATTCATCGTAATGACTTATTTGTCATTTGTCTTAAACTAGTTTCACGACGGAAATCGCTGAATAATAATTTATTAACCAGCTATCAGGTGTGCCGGTGTGATAGTGCCTCTAGCGGTACGAGGTATGCTATAACTAACCATCGAAATTAATTAACTATGTCAAACCAGTATCAAGGACCATCATCGGCAGGTGAAAATAATAAATAATTAACCATCCAAAATAGATCTTGCGTCTTACAGTTTGATGGTGATTATTTTGACGCGGGAACTATCAAAGTCTTAGAAATATTATTTTGACAATTAGCGCATATCGTCAAGCACCGCAAACAAAAACATTGGGGCAAGCCAATAAGATTTGAACACGCTTTAAGCTCGTGAGTCGTATTTAGTCTTATATTACGAGTATTTCGTACACAAAGTATAAAACAAGACCCTATTACTAAGACCTTAAAGACACAGAACCGTCTCGGACGTTCTACGAGGTGGTGAAGACCGCGATGGACCGGAAACGATGAAGAGATTTCATTCGTGCTCAATCGACGACTCGATGGTTGGTAACCAAGATCATCAGACATGATGGACACGACTAGAAATAATATTACTAAGGGTTCGCTGTCTCTGTATCTCATGAGCCGTGATAGATAGACAGTTTAAATTTTCACGAGCATCGGATATTTGTCTTAATTTGCTTCGTCACCTGGTCAGACCATCGTAAAGGGCTATCCTCCGTCTTTTACCTTCTATTTTTCCGGTCATCATGAGCTTCTCTAGATTTTCAGAGAGATTCAGTACTCTACAAAGGCATATGGTTGAAATCAGTAGGGCTATTTTCAATTAGGACAGATGCATTTGTCCTGGCGCCAGTATCAGAATGATGTCTTTTGTACATTTATTTTGCAGATCTGCTTTAGCGAAAACTCTCGACATTTCCAACATACTGATTTATTCAACGTCATACAAAACCTTGTTAAATGAGACATTATGATATCACCCGAATGTTTAACGACGATATGAAGAATTACGAAGTAAAATATGAGAATTAAATAAAATAATTTCACGGATATTGTTAGGTCGCTGCGGTGACAATCTCAGTTGGCACTCGTGTACGATAGAATTTAAACGACACATTTATTTGGTCTTGGAGAGTCGTTTATATGGTAGCTAGTCTAATGACTCGTTTGGTATGCCGTGAATTTAAATTGGTCATGCTAATTAATTATCATTCTCGATTTTGCGAGCGTATTTAAGTCACGCACATTTTTTACATTTGATCACTCCACTCTGTAATTTTGAAGATGATGCGAAATGATCGGAATTCTCGCTTTATTTAAAGACTTAATTACTTTTAGGTTGGACTGTTTTTATTAAATGAATATTCTATTTGAAATATAACAGTATATTAGACATTTTTAAATTGTAAAAAATAATTTGTTTTGATGAGTATTTATATAAAGGAATTTTATAAGTTTTATTATTCCCTTCTAATTTTCAAGTCAGCCAATGGTTAATTTTATAATATTCACTTTACAGTTACATGGTTTTATCACATTTTCTAAATAAAACAACTATGTTATGTTGTCTACTTTAAATTAAAAACAGATTATTTATAATCTTCCAGTATGTTAAATATTTTGCATATATAAATATTTATATCGCTTTAAATACCGACTCTAAAGGACTGAATATGTCTTTCCAAGTTATAATATTACTAGTAAATATATTTCCTTAATTTGGCTAAACATCGATGAGGTTTGAATCCTTTTTTATTTGAAGTCTGTTAAACTCAAAAGTTAAGTTCATATCAGTTCAGCAGGTTGTCCGACGTTTTTCTACATAATTTTTTTACACTACTGGGATTCAAATCGGCGTCGTTCGACGTACTGTAAACCAATCTTCGACGTACGGTTAACCAATACTTACTTTAAAAGTGGAAATCATCGACTCTACGTGACCCTGATCGCCTTGGATGTAATGCGTTCAGTGTAAAGTTGACAACCCTAGCTATCTTCCGAATCAGAAATTACTGTCGTCGCGCAACACATCAGCTTTTGCTGTTGCATGAATGGGCAGGGACGTCCGGGGAAGTATCACGCCCTAAGGGAAGACCAGGGTAAAGTGGAAGTAGTATACTTTTGCTTTTCTTCTGGAGAGTGAGGTCTGGAGCCCATTTTTGAAAAGGTTGTCAACACAGCAGTTCAGGTTTTGTAGATGTCCATGGGTGGCGGTAATCACTTAACATCAGGTGAACCACCTGCTTGAGAAAACCAAAGGCTTAAGAGATTACAATACCTAGGTACTATATAAATCCATAAGTAGATGTGAGTGCGGCCATAAGCCTCCATTGGATAATAATGGAAAAAATCTGGATGCGTCTACTTTTAGTGAGCGGCTGAAGGAGCCCTAGCGCGTACGTTTTAAACACTTTATGGGTTTTGTTTGAGCATGGGTGGAACGGCTCGATTGGAGGTATCACGGTCTAAAGGACAACCCTTAAGTATACTTTTGCAGTTCGATCGGTGAGTTTTTTGGAACCGCTCTGTTGACCAGTGGCGCCCAAGAGCCAGGAATTATTAGCTTATCATTGGATGAGGGAGTTGACTGTGTGCAGCCGTTTTAAAAGAACCCTCACCGCCGTATTGCACTCGTGGTAGCGGCGCCCAAGGCCTGGGCAGTTTGGTTCAGGGCGAGTGACGATGTTCCTCGTTCGACGCGCATGCCCCACGCTTCTAGCAAGCTTTCTTCTCTTTCTACTGCGACGCCATCTGAAAAGTAAGAAATGTTGTGTCATTAAAGTATTGTAATGAATCTAACTACCGTACCATACGAGTTCTTTTGCATTTAATTATTCCTAGTCGTTACACGTGCTTGGGATCCCATAATTTATAAAATTAAATCCAAGTACACCAACACTGCTAGACCTCAAGATACTATTAGCTCCTTTTGCGTAGATCGGAATAAAAATGATTGACGGTAACCGGGGTTAACTATCACAACAAGACGTGTAGCAACTTAGTCTGTCCCGTGAAACGTCGGGAAATTGAAATCAAAATAAAAACACGATAAAATTTGTAAAATAGTATCATTTAATATGTATAATATTCGCGTAAAATCAAGAAGTCAATATTCCTAGTTAATTTGCTAAGCTGTCATTGTTACGTCTATTGCCAAAGAATAAAGAGGTCTATTAAAATTTATGGAAGTGTTAAATGAAGTCGGGTAGAGGTAGCTCGGAGGCTGAATAGATATCATTCGCCAGATATTGGCCCACCACTGGCTTTAAAGTCATAAATAGCTTGGATAGATTGATATTTACTTAAGCAAATTTCATAGTGATTCGAGTTTAATATGACGTGATACAAAAAATCTCTACCTTCGTAGTCGGTGACGTAATAGACACTGAAGCTACTATTGAATGCAAATCTTACTATGAATTTAATTGATCGATTAAATAACGATCAGGAGATTTTCCAAAGTCAACATGATTGGTACAAAATCTTTTAATTTATATCCAATATTTTAAGCCCATGATTCATGTAAAATTATGGGATGAAGAATAAAATTTTAATTCTTACGTAATATTTTTCCAAATGTATAGCGCAAATTTAATAGCAAATTAAATCCCACCATGAGTGTATAAATATTTTAAAGCTTATGAATTTTTTATACAGCAGAGATAAGTATTTTCTGCCTGTCGGTCTGCTTTTATTGACTCATTAATTGTTATTTTCGTAATAAATTTGACACAGGTGAAGTATAACATTAACATATAACAGCTTGACTTATGACTGATACTTTCGAGATAAGAAGATTTCGATCTTAATGTGACATAACAGCTTTTGAAACAGTAAATTTGTGAAGGACTTTGTTCCTTGGATTAATACGAAAAAAATATCACTTAAATTTTGTCTCACACCTGTAAATCTATAGGTACCATATAATTATTAAATACCATATAAATATTAAAACGTGAAGAAAAAACATTTAACACTTTTTTTACAAAAATTGCGCAGATGTAGGACTATGAAATATCCCACACTTCTATATAGAGATACAGTCTATATAGAGAAGGAGTGCATAATGCTAATATTTTTCTTACATTATACATAAAAATACATTAAATCAATAAAAAAAAACATTCCACACACACTACCATGTATCATTAATTATGGTCGAATTTCGACCACTGGGCGACCACTGGTTAATATAATAAGCAAGCAGCGTAATGTGAAGAAAGAAGTCATATCAATCTCTATTTTCAACGTCCAAATGGTTTTGAATCTCATATGTTCCTATTATAACGTCAATTAACAGCGGCGATTAATTTTGATTGTCATACATGACCTTTATCTAAATGACTAACGCATTAATGTAGTCTTCAATAGAAGAACATTCACGAATAGAAAAATATTCCATTTAAACAGCGTATTGTACTGACGCAGCCGCTTCGAGTTGCCTCGAAGTGCGGGCTGGACTGAAAACCAGTGTCGGGATCGGAACGAATTTTAGTTTCTGTCCGTTTCACGGTATTATGCTGCTACACAGACCTTCGCTTGTTTTTTTTTGTTTTTGTCTGCTATGTTTACAATAATTTTAAATTTTTCCCAATATTATTTTATATACTGTGTAGTTTCATTATTTTCTAAGTTTTGTATCTGTCCATTGAGATTTTGAGATTAGAACGTGAATAAACGTACGTTTCTTCTTCTTCTATTGACTCGACGGCCCAGTTGTTAAGCGTGGGTTCGATTCTCACACGGAACGAGAATTAGTAGAACTCACAGACTATTGTTCCAGATCTGGGTATGGACAGGCGGCCGGACGTAAAAAACCTGGCCAAACGTGATATTCCAATTTTGTGTTTTGCCAAGGGATGATGATGATGATGAGGAAAGTAGTTTTTAAATTTGTATCTAAAGTATTAATTATATATCAAAGCATTTTTATAACGTTCTGATTAGTACTAGACTGACTATATAAGTTATATCAGGTATCATCGTATTAACGTATAATCAGTTCACAATCATGAGTTTACATATGGCTATCCTATAGAAGTGTTAAATTATTCGCCGTATTAAATCTAACGCGAATAAAGTGCTGCCTGCACGGAGCCCTTCCACGTCCTTCGCGATCAGTCTGCGACCTCGTAACTTTCCACATCCGAATAACTCAAACAGCCGCCGTATTAAACGTGTTGTGACGCGGTGGTCACAACCGCGAACGGTCATTGCACGCGCCGGCCCACTTAGGGTCTCCTTGCTTGGATTTCACCGTGTCAGTGGCTGTGTCGGCGGGGCGGTGGCTGATTGCCGCTTGTTGGCCCGGCAGCCTGCAATTGTGCGGCCGAAACGTGCCTCGGGTGTTATGTGTCAGACTCTTTGTGAATAGCCCACTATTGAGCTGTTCCAATGACCATCCAAAGGAAGCCGGCGTAGTTCCCGCTTTAGTTCGTCTCGAAGCTTGACGTAAGGAAGGAGGTTGAAAGGTCATAGGTCGAATTTTGTGTAAAGCGCTAATAATTAGAGTTAAAATGATGTTGTAAAAGTAAAAGATATGTAGCGTATAGAGTATTAGTAACATTCAGAATAAGAAGAAATAGTTACTTCTTAGTCTGCTTAAAATTATGCAGATAATTACATCAGGATAACGTGTACATGTGATTGAATATGGGTTTGAATCCGAAACCGGTAATGAAGTTATTTATTGCAATCAATTGAACATTTATAAACAATCTCAAACTCGTTAATAGAAATCAGCTGTGGGGGATAGGTCTGAACTCATAATTATAATAAACTTTCTGCGTTATCACGCAATCATGCGTGTAAAAGACGAATATTGGATCCTTGGAATCGACTTTCATCTCGCTTGTATTAGGCTCATCAATCGTATACGGACAGAAGTAATCGTATTGTATCAGTTCGCCGTAACCGATGATAGTCCTCGGCGGGGGAGCACACATTACCCTTTGTTTTGTAATTAAAACTATGAAACTGTGGTATCATTGTATCTTATAAGTCTCCTACAGTGATTAGCTCATTGATCGTGAACGTATGTGTCGATTTCTCATCGTGATAGACATTATTCGGGCCTAATATTTATTCGAAATCAAGTATCTTGCTCTTCAGCATGCTATTCCGTATATTATTGGATTAAATGTAATTCATATTAATAAGTTTGTTTGAACAGCGATTGGAGTGTTATAATTAATGCTACAGAAAAATTAACATAATATATTATAATGTCCAACTAAATTAAACATAATATAATAAAATAGTGGATAGTGAATTAAAACCTTTTTTAAATTTATAGAGTGTAGGCAATATATAAAATATTATTTATTTAATTTTGAACTAAAAGGCAATAACCTTAGATTATTGCCTTTTTAGTTAAACCATATTTGTTTTCATATTTATAAAAGTATATTTCAATGAAATTATTCGAGTAGGTATCATAAAGATCAATCTTAATGACCATTTCTTAAGATAATGCCTCATCCCTACTTCCGTGTAAGATTCCATTTAAAAGACGAGTTTCACAAACACATTAGAGAACAGCACCCAGAAAATTTCCTAAATATTGTACTGTGTGAAATAGCAGGCTCGTCCGGGGAAGTACCACATCTTCATAGATGACCGGTGCGAAGAGAAAGTAATATACTTACGCGTTTCGTCTGGTAAGTGAGGTAACTGGGGTCCACTTTTTCTTGGTTAGGAACGCATATGGAACCCCCGATATGCGGCGGTAATCACTTAACATCAGATGAGCCACCTGCTCGCTTGATAATCTTTGATATAAAAAATACAAATGTTGTAAATTAACTTAGTTTTCGCCGCACTAAAATCCACCGCTCGGTAATTCAATCAATCTATAAATCAAGTTTTCATATTCGCCATTTTTCTAAACTACACGGCAACATGGATATATCTTAAACACGCGGGGCAATAACTTATAGCATCAGGCAATAGCGGCCGTGACATTGATTTGTGCGCGGAGTGTTGTTTAAACGCATGCCAAGGATGCAAGGAGTGTGCCACTACAATTGATGTATTTGCAACAGCTGATGCGGAAACATACAATACATCAGTAAATTAATATCTGCGTTGAGGCATATGAAATATTTAACAGCCCCATAAAGCATAGTAATTTGAGACTCTAGTTATATGGTTCAACAAGATGTATTATACAAGAGTATCTTGTTATTACACGTATTAGATAGCATCAGTACGGTTAATTTAAAATATTTTTTATTTCCTTGTTAGGGACTAGAGTTTATAATAACAAAGAAAATAACAAATAGATTGATCACTTAAAGACTGACTTAGACTCATTTGCTTACTCTTGAATAAGCTTAGTATAATATTTCCATACATTTATATTTTGCGAAAACGAGGAAATATTATCATGGATTAAATGTGTCATGAAATTTATTAATTTTATTACATTGCTAAGCCGTGCCTATCCAAAAGTAGAATACGAGGAGTATACCTCGATGAAGAAACCGTATACTTACACCCAGTTTCCGAAAGCGCAATCAATTTTAATTTACGATAAATCTCTTGTCAATCGTTGTTTAACATGATCTGAGTTGCTAGAACGTCTTAAACAACACTGATTAACGGACAATCAACATCAGAAAATCGAGTTTCTAAGAGCATTTTCGGTGGTCAACGAGCTGTCAAAAGTTTTATTAAGTAATCTGTCGATTTGGACGATCAATCGTTGGTTAAAAATGTTATTTATCAAAAATCTTAGTTTTTATTAAAAA